AAAAAAAAAAAAAAAAAAAAAAAAGGTCAAAAAATATAAAAATTAATTGTTTACTCGTTGTCTCAACTATGTAGTTAACTCGCTGAATGATTAATCAAAATGGCAACGAACGATAAAAATGTTTTCGTTTGCTTGTCTCAGATAACAGATAAAACGTATCGATCGTAAGCGGGGGAATGGTGAAAATTGATAACAGCGATTGATCTTGATTTCAGGTTCGATTCTGCCACGCGGATTGACACTTGAAGATCGAAGTAGTAACAGTCGAGAGAGGAACAAGTCTGTGCAGAAACGCGACCATCTTTGAATTCGAAGAATACAAAACAAGACAGCGCGGAGAAAAGATGTTTCAACTATCGGTGATCGTTGTTTTAGTGGCATCGATGTTTGGTAAGATAAAATTGTGATTTTCGTATCGCGACGATCTGAACTCGACTGAAACATGTTCTTAAACGTGATACATTTTAATCGCGATACATTGGTTAATGTATTTTCGGAATTGTAAACGATTCGGATGCCAACTACGCGGATATATACACGAAATATACACGAGATATATACTCGCTTTATTTCCCTCGAAATATTCTCGAAATCCTGCGAAACGATTGAAAACAGTTCGTTTTTGTTCGTACTGCGTTGAATTAACCGTGGCCATTATAAACACTTTCATTGTTAGTTGGCAGAACGTCTCCACTGATGCGGAACGAAGAACGCGAGACCAAAGTGGTCGCCACAAGCCTGAACATCGCAAACGTGACGCACGTATCAACCGAAACATCGAGCAACAGCAAGAGCAAAACGATAGATTTGCCGCTAAAAGCGACGTTAGTTAAAAAAGGTGAATAGAATGTATTTCCCTAGCAACTTGTTGGACCCTTGCGTTTGCGTTTAGCGACCGACTGATTTAAAATCAGAACACCCGCACGGGGTCGATGGTGTTCTTTCCGCGTAATTTCTGCTTAACGACGCGCACGATTGTCCACTGCTAAATTGACATTTTTAGATTTAGATTTAAAAACAATGAACGAGTCCCATAACTCTGCATCGATGAATTTAACCGAATTTACAAACGTGAGCACGCCGATCAACGAGAATAACAATCGAGATAAAGAGAAGCAAAAGTGTAATTCCACGACGGAGCAGGCGGACATGCTTCGCTGTAACGTGACTCCACGAGATAGCGAGGATGATGAATCGTTAAATACTACAGGTACGTCGCCAGGTAAAATTTGAATAAAA